CGGCCATTTTGAAAAATGGCCGCCATTTACATGTACGTGTGTCCAATTTTGTTGAAAATTTATAGTTGTATTTATAATGCGAGACCAATGTTAATGCTACCAGGGGAAATTGGACCTGCATGCGTTACGATTTATACATATTTTTCTGTATTGAAAAATTCGATATGAGATGTATATTTCTTAAATTTTCAAAGAAGTCGAAGAATATTTCGTTGCCGTTTTCAAAGAAATCAAATAATATTTCGTTGCCGTTTTATCTCTACATCATACAATTTCAATCACTGTCATCATTTTTTTAAATGAGTTACCTTGAAATATCAGAATGTCATGCTATTGTCATACTCGTAGAATGTCGAGTCTTTCATCATACGAATGTAATTTTAGGCGATCTGTCTGCATGGGGTGAGTATTATAGCCTTCATCCATTGCTGCGTCCACAACTACATGTAAAACTTTTTCAATAAAGTGAGGTTACTCTCTGCATCGTTAAATGAGAGTCTGGTTGATCGGAATGCTATAAATCCATATACGTATTGAGCCATTCAAATACGTTTATATTTTTATAAATGTTTTTTATGTTTACCATGTTCACCTCATCTGAACTTCCGAGATAAATTTTGATCTGATCTGTCAGTGATTATAACCTAGGATAAATGTTGTTGTTGGTTATATGGATTCAAGGAGAAAAAATTTGTTTTTCAATTAGTATTTTGCATCGAAATCTCAGTACGAGTAAGACTCTTGGTCTTTTTGTTGAGGATTAAACAATAATAGGCAGATTCAATATGGTGAAATTCAGCACGAGTTGGACAGAATGTTGTACAAAGCACAGGCCGAAGGTGAGTGCATTCGTACTGATATTCTAGAATTATATCCAATGATCAGTGAAAGCACGTTGTTATCCAGATATTCTGCCAAAAATGACTAATTTCTCTGTTATTGGAGATACTATACGTATTGCTGAGTAATTAGTAAAATATGTTATTAAGGCATGAACCATTTTCATCGAAAATGGAGATAAATTGTGCAGCTAGGAACCAATACTGGTAACAATAGAAACAGCACATCAAGTTTTATAGATATATTTTCATATTTTGTTTTGTCTAATAGTTTCCTTATCAAGCCTAAAAAATCTCGACCTTGGCATCATGGGTATCACCTGTTGATAGTTAAAGTGATTGAAACCAAGTGGAATATCTTTCAAGTACTGGGTCTATACAGCCTACACTTCACACTGCTCTGCCTTGCATAAGGACTCGTGAAAATCCATTGTTTATGATTATGTTATTTATTTTCACGTGTGGTCATCCTTGCTATCAGTATATATTGAGTGAGTTTGGGATTTCCAAGGTATTTTCAAAAATTAACTAAACTATGCAATTAAACCAGACACATACTGTAGGGTACTTCATGTATTTCATTTTTGCAAGTATTGTGTCGGGTCTGATTTACTGACATTCCATGAAAATAGATTGAAAACATAACAATTTTAACGAAGGTACGTAGTTTAGTCCATGTTCAAATCTTAAATATCTGTGTTTCTTGAACTCGAATTTCACATTTCTTGCTTTACTTTTTAACATTTGATCCAGTCTCGAAAGGTAATGTTCACTTTACACCGCACCGTTGATTTGACATTACTAATGACGATATCGTCGTCAAAATAATTGTAACATATGCATGGTCACTATCTATTGCAATTGACAAATGAATATAATAATTTCTGATGAATTCGAACGATGTCCTATCTATAGACTAGGAGTCTGTAAAATGTGAGCTAATTAATCGTAGTTATATCAAGACAATCGGAGATCCCAAAAGCAATTATAACCACCAATAGGTTTTTCCGCATGTAATCCATCATTCACACATAGCTAGGCAAGGTGTGTCCGATTCCAGCCAATCCGAACAGAGTATTCACATAATGAACAGTGTGTGAAATATCAGTAACGCATTTGTTGTGCACAGTTGCTAAGCGATTGAGATTGAAATTGAGTTTCCAAAAAGTTTAATTGAAAATATGTTCTTTTGGTGATTTTGTATCTTTTAGGTGATTTTATAGAGAATATTTTGCAATGTGTGAAAAGAATTTAACCCCAAGACTCAATCCATTGTGGCTGCTTCATTCCACTCAGATGTTGTTTCCTAAACTTTGCATTCCCCCTGCGGGGTCATGCAAAGATTTGGAAACAACATCTTCGTGGAATGGTTCAGCACACAATAGACTGAGTCTAAGGCTTAAATCCTTAAACAACAAATACATCGATATACAGGGTATTTCACGCTTAGGGTTAATTTCATTTTTGCCCTTAAAATGTCGATGAGTCCTTTGGGACTAACATCCTGTCAAAAAAGCATCTAGGTTGGAAATAATTCCGGGTACTCGTGGTCGTCGGGGAATAAACTGTCTAAATTGAATCATTCCAGGAATAATTAGGGTCAATTATGGCATCTGATAGATGATGTAGTCTTTTGTGGCTTGAGCGTAGCCATGCGAGGATCGGTAATTTCGCCTAGCGCGCGCATTCACCTGAGATGAGGCAGAAGTCAATCAGGGGTTGCTATGGTATACATCAAGGAGAATTGGCTCCCAGTATTGAAACTCGATACTTTTCCAAAAATGAAAGCGTCGAAATGTCATTATTTTCTGCAATTAAAATCGACTATAAATTCAAAATGCACAGTAAAGATTCGAACCAATATCTCGATCATTTCTTTTCAACAATTCAAATGTTGAAGTGAACAAAATGGCGGCTGTTTGAATTTTGTATCACGACAGCATGCCCATGTATGGGTCAGAATATCGATGTTGCACTCTGGGAGCCAATCCTCTTTGAGTATACCTGAATAAGTACTTTCTAAAAATACAAGAGATTTATCAATTGTTGCACAGGAAGAGAGCATTCTAGGTATACACGTACCAGGTATATACGTACACTCGACTCCCTTCCATAAGTTTGGCAACCTTTTTTCCCCCATTGAACTACGTGTTAAAGCCTCTTTACCTTCGAATTTTTATTTACTTAACCTGTGATGAAAATACTTATACTATTGATGGACACGTAATTTGACTTTAATTAAAATCTCCAAATTTTCTCAATTTTTTCCTCAATTACAGTAGGTCGAAAATTGATGATGAATTTGATGAATTTTTGAAAATCGACATTCCCATGTTAACCAATGGGAAATGGTAGGTTTGCCGCAAGTCATATGGCAGAATATCCATCCATCCGAGTCCTTGCAAAAAATAAGAGTTAGGCAGGTAATTGAATTTGCTAACTTTATTTAACAAAAAATTGATATGTTTCTTCAGGTTCAACAAAGTTATAGGGCTTTAAAATCAAAATTGTTTTTCAAAAAACCTCTCCCATTGAAATAACACAGGAGGCGAAAAATTCTTTTCAAAAATGACTTTGAAGCGCTGTAACTTTAATATTCATCAAATAAACTAAACACTCTGTGTTCAAAAAAGTTAGACAATTCAATTTTCTATATAAAAATATTTTTGCTGAATCTTTTACTGAATAGATATCCTGATTTCTGATTTGCCCCGAGCCCTCCATTTCACTGGATTACATGGGAATGACGATTTTCAAAAATTCATCAAATTTATCATCAATTTTCGACCTATTGTAATTGAGGAAAAAAATAGAAAATTTGGAGGTATTGGAAATAAAGTCAAGTTACGTTTCCATCAATATTATAAGTTATTTCATCGCCGGTTAAGTAAATAAAAATTCAAACGTAAAGAGGCTTTAACACGTAGTTCAATGGAGAAAAAAGGTTGCCAAACTTATGGAGGGAAGTGTAGGTTCATGCGTGTACGTAATGTCTGCAAATATGTCATTAATTAAACATTTTCTTTTGACATCGAATGAAAGCGCAACTTACTTAACGGACCACCCTCGTACATGAATAATTGATCTTGCTTCTGCGTCAACGTGATGATTAGAGAAAAATATATGGTCGATACCAATACATGTGTGGCCTTGGCGTTCTACCAACACATACTGTTTTGAATTACTCAATTAACAAACTGATTTGGATTAATTTGTGTAGCATAGATTGATTAGATGCATTAGATTGATACATTGCGGAAAAAGAGCAATATTCACAACGTGTAAATCATCAGAACTATTATTAATCATTATTTTAATCCTGTATGCTTAATGTTCTTGTTTCAGATATGCACGGTGATTCGTTACACAGCACGTCAGCTAAATTGTGAAGTGATATATAGGATCAACGGGGAGACTTTAAAAATAGCAGAAATTCGATAAAATAAACAATAAACGAGATCAAAGCTCTAATTTGATCATGACTTAAAAAGGTTTAGACTATTTGAATCGGTGTTTCGATATTTGAATACGTTGTTTGACTTCAGTAAATCTATTGAGATTTATAAGTTGAGGATTTTCTTCTGTGTCACTTAGCAAGGGGAATGATAATAGAAGCAGTATTGTGATACATTGGAGCGTATGGGCAATAAAGTAACGATAAAAAATAGACCATAAAAATTGCAACTATACTGTTAATGTTTGACATAGACCGTGAAAACGAATGTGATAAGACGAACATACAAATCCAAATCTAGTGTTTATTCAGCAAAAGTGCATCTTTGTTGCGTGATCTATGATACTATAAATCAGTGAAAAGTCATTACAAGTGATGCAGCGTTGCAGTAAACTATTCCGAATAGCCCAAATAGACCATCACAGTTGTTGGATCCGAACATAGCAGGGCAGTATATCAGGCAAAAGGAGCGAGTTCAATGATACGAGGAGACTTGCAGATAACTTATCAAACTTCAAAGACTTTTTCTGTAATCCAGGTGGATTGTTCCATCAGTCAATAAACCAGTTAATCAACAGTTCTCGTGAAATCATATCAAACGCTCACGGTCAAGGAATAAATATAATTCGAATCAACTTGAACAAAAGTATGTTGGTGGATGTATTTCTTTAAATATGTGATTGTCGTAATTATACCATAACCACCAAGCCTTTTGCTAATATGAGGGACGCTGGAATATTTTTAATTAGATAGGAAGCCTACAGAATCGGAGGAACTGGATATGATATTTCTAATGCATTACAGGGAAACGCCAAGCATAGAAAGAATAACGAAATAGTAATAAATACTAGTACTTGATTGATTGTCAAACAGGACGACTACGAATCTGGTTAGATTATAATTATGTATTAAGATAAAGGATCATATGTGGATTATATGCAGTGCAGATATACCACATCAGATTAAATTAATTAAATGAACAATTTTTTATACAGAAAGGACAAACAAATTTTGTGACAGGATGCTCGCAGGATGTTGTGAAACGTTCACACATCCAACAGGAGTCCCAAGTCTCAAAGCAACTTACACTGAGAACACGTCGGAATTTCATGATGTGAGACAACTTTCTAATCTGTCCCCAATAATGGACAATCACATCGGGCTTGATATTGAGATAACTGTCATAAATGTGACGGATGATATCAACGTAGCCACATATGCAGAGATGTACTATGATAACAACATAACTTCAGCTGGTAAAGTGATTCCGAGATGGGAAGTTTACATAGAGGCAATATTGTTGTTCATAGTGATGGTTTTTGGAGTATTTGGAAATATAATGATACTCATAGCAGCTCTCGTGTCAGAAAAACTGCGGAAGCCTCTACATCTGCTGATATTGAACATGGCTTTTGTGGACTTTCTGACATGCGCTATCGCGTGTCCCTTCCACGTTTACGGTATAGTTAACCATGAATGGAGACTTGGTCAAATGTGGTGTGACTTTGCAAGGGCTATCTTGTCCATGGTATTGGGTGTATCCCTTCTTAGCAATACGGCTATCGCCGTAAATAGGTATTGCAGCTCAAGTGTACTGTCAAAGAGCAGGAAAATAGTTTGCAGCAAAGTTGGCACGCTGGTTATCATTCTTTTCATATGGCTCTCGGTATTCTCGCTTTTAGTGATGCCTCAGATCACTGGGTTTATCATCATCAGCTTCATTCCTGAGTATGGTTACTGCACACCAGCGTCTCCGTACAAAAACACTATAATCTACTATGTGTATTCCTACGCCATCGGCTTCATCATACCGTTCATAGCCACGTGTATTTGCTACTATAAAATCTTCTGTGTCATCCGTGAGAGGTTGAATCTACTGAGGACAGAACGGTCCCGACAAGAGTTCATACGGGCTAGTAAAAGGATGGCAATGATATTTACAGTGTTTTGTATATGCTGGCTACCTGATTTCATTCACAATATCATATTCCTGTATACAGATATTACTGAACCTTGGATCATACGAGGGCTGGCTATTTTATTACTCAGCAATTCTGCTATTAATCCCTTCATTTACGCTCATAAGATCAGTGCATTTAGGTTAGCGTTATCTGAGCTTTTCGCTGCTAAGAAGGTGGATAATGCCAGTAGTGATGACAGGAGGGTAACGCCATCTCGATTGGGCTCTAGAGCAGCCCGAACTGTGGGAGATACTACATTCTTGTAGTAACATTCACGTGTATTCGTCTGGTTTTACTACAGTCTGACACAAATTACAATACGTTAATAAGCTTAATGATATATGATTATGATACAAAGTACATGTACATAAAGAGTTCAATGAACTCGCAGCAATTTTGTTATATTTTTCAAGAGAAACCAATCTACGGTACAGTATCGTATAATACTCACACCCGGTGATCGTGAATATGGGACGGAGGGGGGGAGCAGGCAATTTCTGCTAGGAAATTCAACAAATCTGGAAGATTTATTTTTTCAAGAAAAAGTTTACTATTGAATTGCTAAATGGATAGGCACACGGTATGGTAGAATATGTTAGGTTTTCTGGGATTTTTTCTGAAACGATACGCATCTAAGGTATGAGATCTATTAAAAAAGGCGCAAGGCCATCAACAGGCACAAATCAACGTTTTTGCTATAAATCAAGCAACAATGGTCTGGACGACCTGTAATAAATACTTGTAAGTGATGTTATCATAACAAAATTAATGTCATTGCTGAATTTATAAAATAAGTTTCCATATGTGAAATAAAAAATAATCGAAAATAATGAATTTGGGACGGAGGGGGGGGAGGGGACGGAGGGGGGGGGAGCAATATGTATATAAGACATGATTAGAAATGTTTCGCGACTTTAAGTCCTTTTACTCCAAATGTCCCCATTTTTCAGTCTCCAGGGGTATATCATCCAGTTTCTTACTAAGTTAATGAGTTCATTTTTCAAATACAAGAATTCGTGTGAAGTTGTTTCACTTTATAGAATTATTACTCCCCCCCTCCGTCCCCTCCCCCCCCTCCGTCCCATTTTAATTATTTTCGATTATTTTTTATTTTACGTATGGAAACTTATTTTATAAATTCAGCAATGACATTAATTTAGTTATGATAACATCACTTACAAGTATTTATTACAGGTCGTATAGTCCATTGTTGCTTGATTTATAGCAAAAACTTTGACTTTTGCACGTTGGTTGCGTTGCGCCTTTTTTAATAGATCTTATATCTTAAAAGAGTATCGGTTGAAAAATAATCCTAGAATACCTAACATATTTTATCATACCGTGCGCTTATTCAATTTGCAATTCAATCGTAAACTCTGTCTTGAAAAAATAATTTTACCAGATTTGTTGAATTTTCTAGCGGAAATTGCCTGCTCCCCCCCCTCCGTCCCATTTTCACGATCACCGGGTGTGATACTAGTACATCAATATTTTATGAATGAAGTTGCATGCCAATGTTCAATAAACGAACCATCCGGATTATACGTGGATGCTATTTTATGTTTGTTTCACGGTAAAATCCGCTGGTGCTCTTTTTACAGAAAATTAAGCTTATGATTTAAAAACTATCTAATAATCCAAGTAAATGCTATCATCACCCCCGGGGCTATCACGCTCCTACTTTTTATGTTCATTCATGTATGTAGGCTGTTAAGCATCTTGTGCCTGTATTTTTGCAAAAGTAAGTGACCCAAAAATCGTATGAAATGGCATTCGAGTTACTAGTACTTTTAACATATAAATGCTTGTCTGGAATGGCACCTTTCGAATTCGAAATTATACTTTTGATGTAACATTCATTTCAAAAGGTTTGAATTGGCTGCTGAATAGAGTATTTAGAGTGTCACTCTGTCTAATCTAAAATAAAGAGCAGAATTCGAATTGGACGACTTTTCATGGATTAGGGAATATGCACTGATATGAAAATTGACGATCATGTAATTCATTCTAGTGTCTAATAAATTGAATTGAAATATTTCATTGGTCGATCTCAAAGATTGATTTTAAGTGGAACCATCTGCATAACACCAGTGGAATTATTGATCGTTTCCACGAAGTAATTTCTAAATAAGAAAATCTGTTTCAAGATAAATCATAACAAATAAGTAGAACACGTCATGCTAAAAACATTAAAACGACTATCACATACTTTCATAGTCAAAACATATACTTAATTCAGATGATTCTGAAACAAATTTGAAGTGAGTTGAAAACAGACCTTTTTTTACCTTGAGAAGGTCATTGAATGTCAAATCTCAGACCTGAGTCAGATTTGAAAATCTAAGAACTTGTAGATGATTTTACAAAAAATGAAATCGGTGTAAACAGTATTTGTTAAGTTATTGAAAGTTTTTATAATTTGTTACAGACGCCGGACGCCAACCACCAACCGCCATAACAAGAACATAACAATAAATCACCACTTTTGATGGTAACATAAAAGATGAATATGAAATCACAGTATTTTTGAAAAACGATAAGGCTATTCATTTTTTTAAATGAAGACTAGCCAATATGACAAAGAATAACAGGACAACTATTCTTAAATCGGATGACATTTATTTTAGAAAGGTCGCTGTGTACCTTGTACGTCTCGAGGCTTCCTGTAATATAAATCTCATGACCGCAAAATCGTTATTGTCTGTATGTACTTTAAGAAGAGTCTGAGGCAATGAACAAGTTATCAAGCGTGGTGATAATACAAGAAAAGAAGCGTTTACAAGCAGAAAACAATTGTAACGTTAATCAAGCAATACCTCTACGTGATCAATGCGCAGTTTTTATTATGAAAACAACCATGAATGGAAACAAGTTAATCTATCTGGAAGTGTCATTCGGGTTAATTGGTAATACTTTCATTATGATTTCATCAGTAATTATTCATCTGGATAAAGTCATGGATTGAGACACAGATATTAATTGTGGTTGCTTGGCATTTCGAGATAATTCATTTATTATTGTTTCGAGATCAGATCTGTTGGCAATGAATATGAATCACAAGATTCAATGAATTGATTTACTTACGGACTTACTTCAAATGTATTGTCACGTCTCTCGCGTTGTTTATTGAGCAATGACATTTAGGCGATCAGCCTGGGGGGTTGGTCGGTATCAAATCAGGGGAATAATGGCCATGGTGATTTTTGGGAAGGTGTACACCCCTAGAGTAAGAAAATATGTGATAGCATTACAGAAATGGCAGCTAAATGGGTGTTATCACCCATTTTCCAAAATGGCCGCCGGTGCGCTTGCTACCAAATAAAAGAAGTTATATCTAAGCATACCAAGAGGCAAAATCAGTGATTTTAAGGTCTAATTCTAGGTTTTATGGGGTCACTGATTCGATTTATGCCTAAATCCAAGTCATCAAAACATTAAATCATATGAAAATCCAAGATGGCCGCCAATTTTGGTTCAAAAACAAATATGTAACTAATGATACAAGCTAAAAAACGTTTCGAAATGATTTTGAAGAGTCTTAGAAGAGGTTTTCAAGTCTAAGGAATTTATTCATGTCTAAATCTATGTCATCGAAGGATTACCTTATATGTAAATCCAAGATGGACGCCAAAATAGGTGCCAGAAGGAATATGTAACTACATGTATTGATACATGCTCAAAGAACAGATAAAAAGCAATTTTGTAGATCATGAATGGGTTTAGGGGTTAATGATTTCACGTATGTTTAATTTTACTCTAAGTAATCAAATAATTGCTTTTCATAGAAAACCAAAATGGCCGCCAATATGGGTGCCGAAACGAACATGTAACTATTAATATAAGCTCAAAGAATAGCTAAAATGTAGTTTTGTATATCATGAAAAGGTTTGAGGATCGATGATTTTATTGTCTTAGTTTTCAAAGAATAACTGAATGTGGAAATCCAAGATGGCTGCCAAAATGAATAAGTTACCATTAATATAAGCTCAATGAACAGTTACAAAGTGAATTTGGAGACCATGTCTAGGTTCCAATGGTGGAACATTTAAAGCCAATGGCTAGGTTTCAATGGTTGAGAACTTTAAGTCATCGAATAATTCTTTTATTTGGATATTCAGGATGGCAACAAAAATGGCTGCCAAAATGAATAATTAACTTTGGAACATATTCATTTGGATATCAAAGATGGCCCTGATGGGATGTACCATCTCAATTGTACTCTCTTCATTAAAACTATGAACTGGCTTGTGAAAGCAGAAGAGTCCTAATGTGGCGGTCTCAAAGGGAATGATGATACAAGACATCCTTCTTGCCAAGCCTTTATGGACATCATTAATGTTATGACCTAGTCATTCCCTGGAGCATAACGGATTTTAAGCTGCTTGGAGAAGATGAGATGTATGTAGTGCAATCCAAGGAATATTTTCAGCTGAGTGGTATACAAAGGAATACCCTTTGCATTTGTTCGACTTCGCTTCTGAAAAGAGAGCTTCATCTCTAGTTTAACTAGACTCTGCGAGCAGGGTAACAAAGGAAGCTAATTTGCAATTTTTATACTATCCATGATGAAAAAATTGAATATATTTTGTGCTTTCAGTTAAGTGTTATTCTCCAATGACTTTTCCAACTCTGTAGGCAACTTTGGTTCCATTAATCTCAAACAAACACCTCAAGCAACTCATTTAAACATAAAGACATGAGAAAAATCTGATGCATGCTTCGAACTGTAATTGCTCCCTGGATCATATCTTAAGCACTTTGCAATGGCCTGGTGATATAATAAAGTGATGCGGGCCATGAAATGGGTTGACACCAAATGGCAAGAGAGATGTAAAGAGATTCCTTACAACCAGTTTTTATCAAGTTTCTGTAAAGAAAGATCAAACTCAATCCTAGTCTACAATTACACAGAAGATAAAATCTTGGATGGACAGAAGAGTGCCGAGTATGAAGACCTCATTGACAAAGTAAGGTGTAAAGGGTGGAAGGTGAGACACTTTCCAGTGCATGTAGGCTTTAGACAGCTTCCAATGTTCTTCTCGGAACATCCTGTTGAGAGAACTAGGTCTGCAGCCTGTGAACTTGAAGATGGCAATAAAGGAAATAGGTTAGACGGTTGAATCATTCTCCACGTGAATGTGGTAATGACCAATCAAACCACATGTTATTCTTAACAATGGCAATGGCCAATGAAATCAGGTATTATTCTTAACACCCAGAAACCTTATGAGGGTGAGTTACTGATGATGGACAAACGGATCCTGGAACAAACCTCGACCACTTGTCCTTGGAAGATACCATAATCACCAGCCAACATCCTT